TACAGTATGATTTTCATACTATATACATATTTGAAGAGTATAAATAGCTACATGTACAACTTTTAGTTGCTTATTTAAGTAGCCTACTTATTACTAAATTCTATACTAGATATTATATCTATAATCTGACTAGAGGATTATCTATTTAAACCCTCTGTATTTATGTGATTACTCTATTAACTAAGCAAAAATCTAATGCGGAATTCTTATTTTCAGATACTGATTTAGGACTTTAAGACAGGCTCTTTACCTCAAAGAGCTTTTTATCCTCAAGGTAAACCTGCTAGAGCCTTTTATACCCACAATCTGGCTGATCTAGTTTTCAGTTAATGTATATAGACCAAGGCCTGCTATTTGTATTCCAGTTTCCATATTAGATACTATGATCTGATCACTGCTATACAACCTACTTCTGCTTTTATAGAGTTTACTCAAACTCTAGTATATATATTACAAACTATCTACAATATTTCTGACTATCCCAAACTACTAATTCAGATGGTTTGGAAGGGCTGTAACCTGCTCCTGGTCCTCACGGTTGGGTTTTTTCCCTCCAGTTACTCTTCTGGCAGCCTGGTTGGTAAAGTGCCTTGCCAAATACTTTAGTCTCGTTCAGTTTTTGCTAGTTTTTCTGATGATAATCCTTTATATAATATCATTAAAGATCTGTGCTACTTCTCTATTTGGAACTTGCCAAGCAAGTGCTTATTACCATATTGACCCTGTAGCTTTCTGCGATCCAAAGATCTTATTATATAACTCATATGTTATACAAATGCCTGAGATCTTCTAGTTCTAATAAATTGGTACAACTATAGTTACAGGGTCTCAAGTTTTCCTGGCCACAACAATAGTTACCAAAACCATTTTTTGAAATTCAATTTTCGTTTTCAGTAAGAATTGAACTTGTACTCAACCGCTTGGGGGCAACAACTTCACCACTTCACTAAGTTACCACACCCATAATTTATACTTCATTTTTAATCAAATCTTTATATACTTTTTATATATAATTTTAATTTTTTTATTTTTCTAGAAAATTACTTGATTTTTAACACTTCGCTTAGTGTAGTTAAAATATAATTACAAAATTTGTTTAACCATAATTTAAAATTATACACAAACATATAAAACTTTTTTATAATAAATCTACAGATATTAAAAATACTAAAATCAGCTATTATTATTATAATATTAAACTCTAATAAGAAAATAATCAACTAACTCAAATCACTTATCTTAATTATTTTATTATCTGTTGGTTTATTGTTTTAGAATTAGAACCACCTAATACAAAATTCATATAATGATATCTGATGAACTATTAAATCTATTATTGGAGTTTATTTAGCAGCCTAATACTAAGATCTTTTGAATCATTTAGCTATACTTAGCATTGCCAACTTAATTAAATTTAAAGACTAAAATAATTTACTTTACAAAAATAATATTAAGTAATTACAAAAATTACAATATATTATAATTAAATTTAGAATTATAAAAGCAAAACTTATTACAGTAGCTTAATTATTGATATATTATATGATCAATTAAATCTATCAACAGTACAGTAAACAATCTTTATTATACTGAAACATCTTTTGAACTTCTAATATGATCGATAAATCGACCTCTACAAATTTAAACCATTTCAAACTGAACTATATTTGGAAAAACAAAATAGAACACTGAAATAAAAAAGTGCAGATCATTCAAAAGAAAATGTTTGGGATTATTATATAACAAGTAATGTTATTAGTGATCGTAGCACAATTTGTCATTATTGTTCAAAATTGAAGCTATGGATGTTCTGCAAGTCTGCAAGTGTTCCTTTCAGACAAGATTATTAATTACAAACGAACAAAAAGCGGTTTATAAATATATTGGCAATTAAGTATCTAATTATGATATAGAAAATGGTACGTGCAAGAGCGATAGATCGATATTTAATAATGTAGATAATATATACAGTTCATATTTAATACGTAAATATAATGCTTTATCGTGCGTAGTTCAAATAAATTCTTATATGTGTAACATGATACTATCGGCTTTTTAAATAACGCAAAATTTATTAAAAATGCAAAAATGTTTTTTAGATTCTATAATGCAAAAAATATTTTAATTAAGTTGGCAACACTAGCCACGCTAACCATTTAATTTAGCCAGTGTTAAAATAATTCTGGCCCATAACAAAAATAATCCTGCCTGGGACAATGAAACCGTCTCCAAGCGATTAAACAAATTTATAATGTTCTTAAAAACATTTATGATATTATTTGCTAATGCTCTTATTTTGTCAGAAATTAGGATATGGCAAGATGTACTAAAGCAAATTTAAAAATAGAATAGTTTTGCGCCTTAATCCAATATTTAAACTGTAAAAAAAACCTCTGCCAGAAAGAAAGTAATATTTCGATTTAGTAAGCCTCTTATACTCACTTAAAAATAAAATAGTAAAACAATCTTATTAAAAGTATACATTTTTTATCTGCTTTAAGTACCATGTAAAAGTAAAAAATAAAAAGATGAGAAAAAAAGATAAACAAAAGCTAGCAAGAGACAGTGAACAAATCTAATTATACACGTAAAAACTATTCGGTATAGTTACTGTTAGGGCTGTTAAAAGTCCGATCCTATCCGTCCGGACTCCTCAAATAGAGACTTTGATTAGGACTCGATCCTTGAGTCGATCCTTGAGTCAAGTTTGCAGTAATTAAGTATGAATCAACGTAAATTAGCCAATCAAAATGAACAATTCTCAGAACAAAAGTTATGCAGTCGGACTTTGTCTGACAACATAAATTAGCCAATCAAAATGAACAATTCTCAGAACAAAAGATATGCAGTCGGACTTTGAAGTCGGTCCTAAAAAGTCCCTGTCTAGTCGACTCAAGGACCGGGTCCGACAAGCTTTTTCACAGCCCTAGTTACTGTGTTATCGAATAAATTATGTATTTCTCGATTTTATATTTAAATGCCTGTGATCGATATGGTTACGCAAATTTTATTTGCATTCTTGTGGACAGAACCGTGCCAACTCGCGTGATTAGTGCCAAAATCCACACCCTTCTAAATATTTACAGTCCGTACTGTCCATAAGAATTGTTTATAATCTTCTGTATATCACAATGTAATTTCATGTGATATTATGAGTAGTTAATGGTTCTGGTAGAATTCGCCGACAACCATTTCGCCGACAACCACTTCGCCGACAATCTCCAGCCAACATTAACTATAAAGCAGGCCAACCTTAACTAAATCGGGTCAAAATTTGTCGGCGAATGGCTGTCGGCGAAATGGCTGTCGGCGAAATGGTTGTCGGCGAAATGGTTGTCGGCGAAATTGGTTTATACCGTAGTGGTAGTTAATATCATAACTAGAGACGTGCCTCGCATGAGATAAACTTATATATCACTTCGCGTCTGCGCCATGAGACAACAATTGTAATTTAGTATATCACAGTAAATTATATCAAATTTACTAGTGTAAAATCCACAGATTGTTGTGACTTTACTATTTATCAAATCTATTTGCAAAGTAAATGTGATCACGCAGAGGTGCACCTATAAGTGTACATTTACCCAAAGACGTGCACTTATGAAGGGTTGCTATATGGGTTACCGTTAATATAAATCAAGCAGTTTTATCTAATAAATCTGCTTGATTTCCATCGATGGCAGCTCATATTTGATTCGTATTTACCTGTTATTAACATTATTTTTGGAAATTAATTTTATCGATTAATAATCATTTCATTTAATTAACAGAAAAATGAATGCTATTAATTTATTAGATGCTTGCGTTATTTGCAAGCAATAATTCAGAAACACAAACACGATTGTTTCAAAATTACTTCCATCTTTAATTCAAGAAAATTATTAATGGCAAGAAAAAAAAGACAAGTTACATCAAATTCCCTTAGTATTAGATGATATAACAAAAACCACATTGTAAACATTAAGTTTGATACCTTCATCATCTTATGAACTACTGCTACCAACTTCATCACCGGCCATTTTTCCAATGGCATCAATAGCACCAACAAATCTTTTACTAACAATTGATTTCTTACCATCCAGATTGTAAAAAGGATTACATACCTGGTTGATATATGCAGTATGAATTTTGCGAAATATCTGTGCGTGTGAATTATTTATAAGTCAAACAGAAAGAATATAGTAAAAAGAAAAGATAAAAGACATACATTTTTCATATCACTGTTTTTTATTACTGCATCAGGAACAGAGAGGACTACCACAAACTTTACTCGGGTGTTTGTTAAGTATCCGTATCTGATTGATAAAAACATTTTTCATTTTTAATGAACGCATAAAAATTAATGATCAAATAACAATAGCAATAATAATAAAATTAAAATAATAATTAGTAACAAAGAATTTACACAGCCAAATCTTCCATCGCGTATAGTAATCCTTTTTACAATCTGGATGGTAAGAAATCAATTGTTAGTAAAAGATTTGTTGGTGCTATTGATGCCATTGGAAAAATGGCCGGTGATGAAGTTGGTAGCAGTAGTTCATAAGATGATGAAGGTATCAAACTTAATGTTTACAATGTGGTTTTTGTTATATCATCTAATACTAAGGGAATTTGATGTAACTTGTCTTTTTTTTCTTGCCATTAATAATTTTCTTGAATTAAAGATGGAAGTAATTTTGAAACAATCGTGTTTGTGTTTCTGAATTATTGCTTGCAAATAACGCAAGCATCTAATAAATTAATAGCATTCATTTTTCTGTTAATTAAATGAAATGATTATTAATCGATAAAATTAATTTCCAAAAATAATGTTAATAACAGGTAAATACGAATCAAATATGAGCTGCCATCGATGGAAATCAAGCAGATTTATTAGATAAAACTGCTTGATTTATATTAACGGTAACCCATATAGCAACCCTTCATAAGTGCACGTCTTTGGGTAAATGTACACTTATAGGTGCACCTCTGCGTGATCACATTTACTTTGCAAATAGATTTGATAAATAGTAAAGTCACAACAATCTGTGGATTTTACACTAGTAAATTTGATATAATTTACTGTGATATACTAAATTACAATTGTTGTCTCATGGCGCAGACGCGAAGTGATATATAAGTTTATCTCATGCGAGGCACGTCTCTAGTTATGATATTAACTACCACTACGGTATAAACCAATTTCGCCGACAACCATTTCGCCGACAACCATTTCGCCGACAGCCATTTCGCCGACAGCCATTCGCCGACAAATTTTGACCCGATTTAGTTAAGGTTGGCCTGCTTTATAGTTAATGTTGGCTGGAGATTGTCGGCGAAGTGGTTGTCGGCGAAATGGTTGTCGGCGAATTCTACCAGAACCATTAACTACTCATAATATCACATGAAATTACATTGTGATATACAGAAGATTATAAACAATTCTTATGGACAGTACGGACTGTAAATATTTAGAAGGGTGTGGATTTTGGCACTAATCACGCGAGTTGGCACGGTTCTGTCCACAAGAATGCAAATAAAATTTGCGTAACCATATCGATCACAGGCATTTAAATATAAAATCGAGAAATACATAATTTATTCGATAACACAGTAACTAGGGCTGTGAAAAAGCTTGTCGGACCCGGTCCTTGAGTCGACTAGACAGGGACTTTTTAGGACCGACTTCAAAGTCCGACTGCATATCTTTTGTTCTGAGAATTGTTCATTTTGATTGGCTAATTTATGTTGTCAGACAAAGTCCGACTGCATAACTTTTGTTCTGAGAATTGTTCATTTTGATTGGCTAATTTACGTTGATTCATACTTAATTACTGCAAACTTGACTCAAGGATCGACTCAAGGATCGAGTCCTAATCAAAGTCTCTATTTGAGGAGTCCGGACGGATAGGATCGGACTTTTAACAGCCCTAACAGTAACTATACCGAATAGTTTTTACGTGTATAATTAGATTTGTTCACTGTCTCTTGCTAGCTTTTGTTTATCTTTTTTTCTCATCTTTTTATTTTTTACTTTTACATGGTACTTAAAGCAGATAAAAAATGTATACTTTTAATAAGATTGTTTTACTATTTTATTTTTAAGTGAGTATAAGAGGCTTACTAAATCGAAATATTACTTTCTTTCTGGCAGAGGTTTTTTTTACAGTTTAAATATTGGATTAAGGCGCAAAACTATTCTATTTTTAAATTTGCTTTAGTACATCTTGCCATATCCTAATTTCTGACAAAATAAGAGCATTAGCAAATAATATCATAAATGTTTTTAAGAACATTATAAATTTGTTTAATCGCTTGGAGACGGTTTCATTGTCCCAGGCAGGATTATTTTTGTTATGGGCCAGAATTATTTTAACACTGGCTAAATTAAATGGTTAGCGTGGCTAGTGTTGCCAACTTAATTAAAATATTTTTTGCATTATAGAATCTAAAAAACATTTTTGCATTTTTAATAAATTTTGCGTTATTTAAAAAGCCGATAGTATCATGTTACACATATAAGAATTTATTTGAACTACGCACGATAAAGCATTATATTTACGTATTAAATATGAACTGTATATATTATCTACATTATTAAATATCGATCTATCGCTCTTGCACGTACCATTTTCTATATCATAATTAGATACTTAATTGCCAATATATTTATAAACCGCTTTTTGTTCGTTTGTAATTAATAATCTTGTCTGAAAGGAACACTTGCAGACTTGCAGAACATCCATAGCTTCAATTTTGAACAATAATGACAAATTGTGCTACGATCACTAATAACATTACTTGTTATATAATAATCCCAAACATTTTCTTTTGAATGATCTGCACTTTTTTATTTCAGTGTTCTATTTTGTTTTTCCAAATATAGTTCAGTTTGAAATGGTTTAAATTTGTAGAGGTCGATTTATCGATCATATTAGAAGTTCAAAAGATGTTTCAGTATAATAAAGATTGTTTACTGTACTGTTGATAGATTTAATTGATCATATAATATATCAATAATTAAGCTACTGTAATAAGTTTTGCTTTTATAATTCTAAATTTAATTATAATATATTGTAATTTTTGTAATTACTTAATATTATTTTTGTAAAGTAAATTATTTTAGTCTTTAAATTTAATTAAGTTGGCAATGCTAAGTATAGCTAAATGATTCAAAAGATCTTAGTATTAGGCTGCTAAATAAACTCCAATAATAGATTTAATAGTTCATCAGATATCATTATATGAATTTTGTATTAGGTGGTTCTAATTCTAAAACAATAAACCAACAGATAATAAAATAATTAAGATAAGTGATTTGAGTTAGTTGATTATTTTCTTATTAGAGTTTAATATTATAATAATAATAGCTGATTTTAGTATTTTTAATATCTGTAGATTTATTATAAAAAAGTTTTATATGTTTGTGTATAATTTTAAATTATGGTTAAACAAATTTTGTAATTATATTTTAACTACACTAAGCGAAGTGTTAAAAATCAAGTAATTTTCTAGAAAAATAAAAAAATTAAAATTATATATAAAAAGTATATAAAGATTTGATTAAAAATGAAGTATAAATTATGGGTGTGGTAACTTAGTGAAGTGGTGAAGTTGTTGCCCCCAAGCGGTTGAGTACAAGTTCAATTCTTACTGAAAACGAAAATTGAATTTCAAAAAATGGTTTTGGTAACTATTGTTGTGGCCAGGAAAACTTGAGACCCTGTAACTATAGTTGTACCAATTTATTAGAACTAGAAGATCTCAGGCATTTGTATAACATATGAGTTATATAATAAGATCTTTGGATCGCAGAAAGCTACAGGGTCAATATGGTAATAAGCACTTGCTTGGCAAGTTCCAAATAGAGAAGTAGCACAGATCTTTAATGATATTATATAAAGGATTATCATCAGAAAAACTAGCAAAAACTGAACGAGACTAAAGTATTTGGCAAGGCACTTTACCAACCAGGCTGCCAGAAGAGTAACTGGAGGGAAAAAACCCAACCGTGAGGACCAGGAGCAGGTTACAGCCCTTCCAAACCATCTGAATTAGTAGTTTGGGATAGTCAGAAATATTGTAGATAGTTTGTAATATATATACTAGAGTTTGAGTAAACTCTATAAAAGCAGAAGTAGGTTGTATAGCAGTGATCAGATCATAGTATCTAATATGGAAACTGGAATACAAATAGCAGGCCTTGGTCTATATACATTAACTGAAAACTAGATCAGCCAGATTGTGGGTATAAAAGGCTCTAGCAGGTTTACCTTGAGGATAAAAAGCTCTTTGAGGTAAAGAGCCTGTCTTAAAGTCCTAAATCAGTATCTGAAAATAAGAATTCCGCATTAGATTTTTGCTTAGTTAATAGAGTAATCACATAAATACAGAGGGTTTAAATAGATAATCCTCTAGTCAGATTATAGATATAATATCTAGTATAGAATTTAGTAATAAGTAGGCTACTTAAATAAGCAACTAAAAGTTGTACATGTAGCTATTTATACTCTTCAAATATGTATATAGTATGAAAATCATACTGTA